GGGCATCCGGTAGAAGGAAGAAACCCAAAGCTTCCAAGACTCATCAATATATTCTCTCCTGCCATGCCATAGCAGCAATGGGAAAACTGGGAGAGGGAGGTAAATGACCTGCTCCTAGTAGAAATGGCTAATGTGAAAAGAAGGAAAGACCCCACAAATTCCTACATGATGCTTACCTGCAGATAAAATGAGAGTAATGGAACTGAGTCTTTCTCAGTATACTAATGATGCCCCCCCAAGGGCTGACACCATCTTGAGAGTTGACAATCTAATAATAATGTCCAGTACAAAGAAAAATACTTCCCTTACTGCAGTCCTAAGGTTTACCCTCCATCATTTAGCAACTCTTGGGAACTTCCCTTGCTCAATTTCCTCACTTATTCCGATAAGCAGAGGAATTCAAATGAATCTCCAGTGAAGTAAACCAGTGTCTACTTCCCACCCTCATTGAGAAATGATGCTGTGTCCATTCATACTTAGAAATTAGTGACACAATAACAATATTAGTGAGAACTGGAAAACAGTTCTTCCCCTATGTGTTACTGGATATATCAATAGCTTTTGGGCAATGAAACAAAGAATAGGAAAAGGACTGAATATTATGATTAGTCAAATAAGATCAATCAAAAAAGTTGGGGGTTGGGGAGTAAGAGGAAACTGAATCTTCAATTTTTGCTCAATTACCTTCCTATCATTTATTAAAAGTTTCAATTAGTAACTACATGTTTAGCCAGTACTCATCATAAGCCAACATCGTCCATCAAGCCAATTGGTAATGAAATCTGTCTCTCACAAGCATGATTTCCAGGCAGATATCAACCTGATAAGCTAATCATTCATTACCGGGTAATTGTGCTAACTGCATTCTAAGGAGCAATGGCTTCTCCAAGAATTTCCAATTTTAGGAAAAACTCATATAAGGACACTAGAAAGCTATGAAAGCTTATGGGCTCGTTCCCATGCTCACTCTGAATCTTCTACAGCAGTGGTTCTTTCAGAATAAACCTTCTATGACCCTGCTGAAAACCAGATCCTCTCCTGAGAAAAATGCACATGTGCATACAAAATGGAGCAATTTCAGGAGGTTACAAAAAAAGTGCCTTGAGGCTTATCCAAGAACTTTAGGTCAAGAACTTTGGTTATCCTAGCAGAGCCTCCTTCAGAGCAAAGTTAAGAATAGAGTTGTAACAGAAAGGTTTATGAGCAGGTCAAAGAAAAATCAGCTGGTGGGCAAATGCAAGGTAAAGACACTGACAGCAAGAGTGACAGATGACATTCACAGCCATACCGTGAAGCCTTATTATAGCAGCACATTCGACATATATTTACTGGGCGTTATTATGAACTAGATAGAGTGCTAAGAGACGTGATAGTGACCAAACTCAGATGTAGCTAACATAGATCCGGCTCTCATGTGGCTTGTTAAGGACCAGGGGAAAGACAATCAATCATCCTGATAAATAATTAGAAATTGAGATGTTACTGGAATGAAGGAAATATACTTTATGAGAGCCTATAACAAAAGAACCTAGCTTAGATTCAAGGTTCACAAAGGCTAAAGTAAGATTGAAGTGAAAGCAAACCAGTAAATAAGTTATCTATGCAGAAATGGGGGTGGGGGATAAAGTTAATACAAAACCTCCAGACAGGGAAACATAAGCAAAGATCCTGTGGTGGAGGCAGTGCGGAGATTAGAAAGTTGCACTATGAAATTAGGAAGATGTTGGTTCTCTTGCTAACAGCTTTCTTCTTAGCCTGTTACTTATCTTCTGATAAAAATAATAGCATACTCATCACAGGGTGGTTGGGACAATTAAATTGGAGAATATATGTAAAGCCTTGGCATACAGTAAGTACTCACTAAGTGTTAGTGATGATGCAAGTTACTGAGTAGTTAAGCTAACCTGTGTTCTAGTAAAATTGCCTACTCATGGCCGCAATAAATGTTAGCAGTTCCTACAGTCACCAATTATAAATTTCTAAGGCAAAATATGAGCAACTTAAATATTTTAATAATTGCTTGCTCTTCATTTTTTACTTACATAAAAGTGCTACAAAGAGGTGTATTTAGATATAGGACAAACACATGTTATCTCTACCTAAGGACTACAATATACCTTACCATTGAGATTATTTTTTTAAACAAACCAACAACTTACTGATGAATTCTGGGAAATACTTAAGTGAAACAGTTCTTACAATATTATTACTATGTTTTTTGAATAGAATCCTATTTAAAATGGACTCTTCATTGAGTTCAATTGGATTTAACAGCTATTATTTAACTAAAAGACAAACTGAGGTATTGAAAAACCACTCTTTACAAAATTTGACAATCTTCAAAAACAGTTTCAAATTTAGTCTTACTTAACAAGCTGAGGTATAATTCAAAAAGAAAATCTTTATACTTTCACTTTGCCTCTAACCAAAGCATTATATGAATCTCCGGTAATGCAGAATCTATCCTTTATGTAGAAGTCTGTTAATATTCAAGAAAAGATACTCTTTTCAGATACGTACTACGTTTGAGTATTGAGCACATTTTCCCTAAACTTAAAATATCTACAATACATCTCTTGGCCTGAGATTACTCAATACATGAGAACTGAGACAACATACTTAATAACTCTTGTACTACAAAAATGCAACATTACCTGGAAAACTAGTTTTCATTATATCAATTCCAACTTGTAGCTCAGGTTCAGCAGCAAGTACAGCATAGTCCCCTTGATGAGAGATGTTAAAGTTGAAATTGGGATAAGGATTCAACGAGTCTTTTGCAAGAACTGGTTTTCCTTTTGCAGTTCTTTGCAAACGAATATTATTCCAAGGGATATTTAATTTCTCTGCAACTAATTTCCTTATCATCAGTCGACCAGCCTGTTAAATAAACAAAACATTCAGTATGTACTTATGTCTACTAAAGATTTAGGTACACGGCCTCTAAGATACAAAGTCTATTTTTGTGGTTTCTAAAATATTCATTTTTAAAAGTTTTTAAAAGCATCTAAGTATTAAATACACTGCATTAAGATTTAAGCAATGCTTAAGACAGAAGAAACTTTAACAAGCCCTTCCTTAGCAATTCCATCCCCTCAACAGCTAACTAATGGTAACAAGCAGGCATCCTTCCAGTCTTTTCTCCAAGTATCTAAATAGATGTTCATTTGCACATGCTTTTGCTATCTATCTACATATATGAGATCCTACTATATGTAGTATTCTACCATATATAAGCTTTTAAACTTGTAAGTGTTGGGGATTATTTCATGTCTGTATATAACAGTCTGGGCTGTGCACTTTTCACTAGCATAACATTTCACAGTATCAAGGTACCACAACTTGATTGACTATTCTCCTATTACTGGACATTTTAGGCTGGCTCTAGTTTGCTATTATAAAAAATTCCCCAGCGAGTAACCCTGTTGTACCTATATCTTTGTGCACATGTGCAAGTGTTTCTAGTTCCTATATACCCACCACTCAGCTTTAACAATCAGCACTGAATGATCTTTTTTCACATATACCCCATCCACTCTCTCCCACCTCCATTAATTATTAAAAAAGAAATTACTAAAATCACACAAATACCCAAGCGTATAAGATAACAAAGTATATAACATTTTGTAAAATATCTTTCAAGTGTTTTTTCCCTCAAATCTAACAATGACTTTTAAAACTGCAAGACTTTGAATTTCACAATTTCTTATAAATTATAAAAGTATAAAAAATATTCACTAATATGCCTTCAAGAAATTATCAATTAGCCCACATTTCAAACGAAAATGTGTTTCAACAAAGGGACATTTTCAAGAAATGACTGTCTTTGAAGTGATGGTAATCAGAGGCTGTTTCAAACTGCACTATATAGTAGAGTTAGTTTTGAAATCCAATTTTCCATCTGTTGCCAAAAAACAACATACCTAAAATAGATAATTCTATTTAAAACACTGTTTCCCAAGCTATCTAGTTAGGAAGGTATGCCTGGGGCTGCATCCTCCCTGGCCTTCAGTTTCACTGGTAAAAGGAGACTGGTCTAGCCTCTTCTAGTTCCATGGTGTATAAGGCTAAACTAAGCCATACTATCAATATTTTTTAGGGCCTACCACGTGCAGGGGGCCCTTGGAGAGGGGTGGGATATTCAATAGGCAGTCTAAGCATGTGCTATGGGCGCAATAAATGTGATAACACTTAAAAATACAAAAACTTTCATTACGGAAAGGCACAATTACTTCGTAGGCCTCCCTTACACCTATTTTATGGTTTAGCAGGGTCTCTATTTACAATTACAGAGGAGGAGGGCCTCATCTGTACAGCGATCGAGGCCGCCGAGGCGACTACAAAGACCGTCGAGACCAGGCCGTGCACATACGAGGGAGACGCGGCGGCGCCGACCACTCAGGCCCAGGGCCCAGGCCGGCCACAAGTGGTCTGGAACGCGGGCGTCGACGCTAGGGCGGAAGGGGGGGGTCTCCAGAGCCCGGCCCACCTCCCCCAGCATTCGCTTTCTCGGCTCTGAATACCAAAGACCTGTAGTACCATGGCTGCCTTAGCGTCCCGGGCAAAGACGAACTGGCCGATGCGCTCCTTCTCCTCCGGCTGGATCGATCGCACCGCCAGCAGCCATTCAGCTCGGCTCGGCAGCCAAGTGCCGCAGGAAAAGGCCCAGCGCACGCCCTCCATTGCTGGCACCAAGCAGAACCGCTTGGCAGGCAAAACCATACACCGAACACAGACCTCACCGCCTCCTCTGGCCTGATGGCGCGGACGCTTACGTGGCCCCACCCCTTTCTTCCCGACGTCTGCGCGCAGGGGGCGGGGCGTCGCGCTACGACAGCGGACGCTCTGCCCTCCCACAACCCTCACTTTCCGCTCCAACCCGGTTGCGCTCTCCAGGAGAACGCGGCTGGGGGCGGAGACCGAGACACGCCTCTGCGCTCTGCGGCAGCGTGAGTCGTCACGTGGGGCGGGGCTTCGGAGGGACCAAAGGGAGGGACCAAGGCCGAGAGCCGGAGAGTTGCGCCAGTCACACTTGGAGAAGAGCTAACGGGACAGCGCTGCAGGCCAATCGCAGTGAGTCCTCTGGAGGCCGGAGACTGGGGTGGAGATTCGGAGACTGCAGTTGCAGGTGGGTGAGCTCTGGGGTCTGAGGGAGGAGTGGGATGCTAGAACCTTATTCCTGGGGACCACGGTGGGTCCCCATGACCCACAAAGGAGAGAATTCTCTTGGCTTCAGCTGTCCCTGCCGCTGCTTCGTGTTCCCGGGCGGGAGAGGTTTCCGCGGCTGGGAGGGGACTGCATGATGCTCCCTGGAGTTGTGCTGCACGGCAGCCCTGAGTTGCCTTCCTCTCCCCCCCACCCCCAGCTCCTTTGGCCAAAGGCCCCCTCTCACCCAGGACTTTCCCAGCCCCTAGCAGCTGCCCACCCTGAAACCCACCTTCCAAGTCCTGGCTAAGACACTACCCTCAGTGCGGGGCGCGGGCCCCGCCTGAATCCGAGGCTGTCAGCCAGCAGCTGGGCTAATGCTGATCCTTTACTGCGGACGTCAAGTGACCCAGGTGCTGTGTTGCTATTGCCAAGCCTATTGCGGAGCCTTAGGAAGAAAACTGAGGATTCTGTTGTTGTAGTTCCATCCTATCAGGAGGTCCTTGCTGTAAAAGCAGCAGAACCAAGTAAATAACTTCAGCAGCCCTTCAGAGTTACTCTGTGCCTTTGCTCATTTATCTTCTCAGACTTTATGAAGGGCCATCCTGAGTCTCTGTTTCCACAGTTGTTCCGTGTAGGTGACTCTTCTTATGAAAGCCCTCGTGATCAAAGTCCACTGCGGGTGTTGGCCCAGGGAAAAGTTAGTCTCTGCAGATGAATGTAAATGCCTAACTTTGTGGTAGATTAAATGCCATAATGTTGGATTCAGCCGATTCCCTTCTGCCTTTGGCTGTCAGCGAATGTCAGCTAACGGCCAGTAGTAGTAATTAACACCGTTACCTGAGGATTATTTCCATCCTCTTTAAAATGGGTTCTATTCTGCTTTTATCTATACTTGTTTCCGTTAGCTTTTCATGATTATCATGAGCCTCCTCCAATCCTTTGCAAGTAGATGGGATTTTGAACACACATACACAAATCCTCAAAGGGCTGTAAAATGAATTACTGGCTTGATATATCAGCTTAGCAAATACTTAGTAAAACCCTGTGTCAGGTGCTATTTTTAAGATCTGCTTACAACCTGCAGAGAGCTTACAATCTGGCAAAGCAGATAAAACGTGCAAGAAGCTACAAGAGAAAATATAAAGATGAGTAAGGTATAATGATCAGAACTCAGTTCTCCACTTTTAACTTTATATATCTAAGCATCTAAGTTTTCTATTCTTGTCTTTTTGAACTGATTTTTATGATTTCAATATATTACTTTTTGGTTTCTAAAAAACTTCTAAGTATATTAGCTCCCATGTTCCTCTGTGTAGTAATTATTATTACTGATGGAGAAACTGAGATCAGAAACAGAATTTGTGGAATTATTTCAATTCAGGTTTAGGACTTCATAGTCCATTCTTTTACAGTTGAACTAGGCTCTGTGTATTCAATCTATATAGCCTAACATACAGTCAAGTAATGTAGCGGTTACTTGTACTTCTTCTCTCTGCCTAGAATGTTCTCTTCCCCTCCCATCATCACATTCCTTGTTCCTCTGTATCATTCAGGTCTCAGCTCAAATGTCGTGCCAAAGAGAATGTCTCTGCACAACCAATCTAAAAAGCACACATTTCCTACTCCCTACCCCCACTCCTGAGCAAGGTGCCCTAGTGGACACTCTTTATAGGTTTGTTGAATTTAATCCCCTTCCCTATCTATTTTTAAAATTTTTATTCGCCCTTCAAGGCTTAGCTCAAACCTTACCTTTTCTTAAGGACTATACCAGAGTATTTAAAAAAAAAAAATTTTGTGTAATTCATTAGGCATTTACTTGAGGGGGAATTTCATGTATACCTTACCTTTTACAATTATTATACATTAGTAAATGTTTTTGATGAACTTTTACAATAGATTTTACTTTTAACAAGCTAACACTGATATTTTTATTCTGTCTGCCTTTACTTTCCCCCTTTTTTCTTAGGGAAATATGAAGTATGCAGTTAATAACTTGCCTAACTATATTCAATAAACCCAAAATTCTATTATGGTATTTTTTATTGCACTGGTCAGGGGAAAAAGAGGACTAAAGTGATAGATGCTCAGCAAGTTTGTGAGTAATCATCTTCTTGCCAGATCCTGTTGTGTGGCTTCTTAGGATTCTGAGAGACCTGCGTTCTATTTCCAATTCTACCTCCAATTATCTGTGTGATTTTGGATAAACCACATAACCTCTCCTCAGTATCAGTTTCAATGGAAAGGCACCAAATGAGATCATCTCTAAGGTTCAGTGATTTTTTTTAGATAATGTTCATAAGCTTTTTATTAGGTCACAACTTAAACTTTATTTCATTGCAAAATTTCCTTTCCAAGTCTTTGCTAAATAACTCCATAATTCTACCAGTTACTCAAGGAAGAAATCTTGATTCCCTTTTTCTCTCAATTCTTATATCCAATCTTTCCCAAAGTTCTGTTGGTTATACTTCTAAAATAGAGCGAAAAATCCATCTATTTCTATTTCCCCTGTTAACACTCTAGTCTAAACCACCATCATGTCTCATCTGAAATACTGATTAGTTTTCTAGCCTGCACAAGAAAGGAAACATTCTCTTCTTATATCTGTCCTCCATGCCATAAGCATCCTGAACCAACCTGTCTTCAGAGCTAAGTCTAGAAATCCATGCCCTTAATCACTGTGCTATATGGCCTCCTAATTAGACTGAGAAGGAGAGGCCAGCAAAATAGGCAACCTGAAGAGTATTGTGGCACAGAAAAGAAGGAGGAGCTGGTTAATAGTGTGAATTACTCTGAGAGGTTAAGTAAGATGAGGAGAGAGAAGTTAGCATTTGACTGCAAGACTAGGTAGTGTGGTGACATTGACATGAGCAGTTTTAGGAGGGTAAAGGAGAGGAAGGTGATTGAAGTGGGTTGAGATGATAACTGGGAGGTGAAGCTACTATAGACTGTTCTTTAAAGAGGTTTTTCTAGGTTAAGGGGTAGAAAAATGGGATGGTAGGTAGAGGGGAATAAAAGGTCAAAGGATAGATTTTTGTTTATTTGATGTTTGTTTAAATACAGGAGATAATAAAATTTGTACGCTGATGGAAAATGTCTAGTAGAGTGGGAGAAATTTTTGATGTAGGAAAGAGGGTAGTTTTGCGTGTGTGTGTTCACCACTCTAAAATGTACTCCAAAGTGGAGGACCTTGTCTATATATATTGTTTTTGGCTTAATGCCTAGTATCTAGAATAGTGCCGCTACTCCATAAACTTTATTTGTTGAATAAATGAATGACTTAGCCTCTATTTCTCTTACCTTCTTTCAATTCATTCTTCACATCTCAGCCAGAAAGATATTTAAAAAAATAAATCAGATCGTGTCACTGTCCAATTTGAAACCTTCAGTGGTTCCCATTACACTTAGAATAAAATTTGAGCTTCTATGGCCTAGAGGATCCTGCATGAGGTAGCGCTGGCCTTCTGCAGCCGGATCTCCTGACACTCTTGCTCTCATTAACTATACTCCAGTGATGCTGGCTTTCTTTCACTTCCTAAAACTGAAGGACCCTTTCCCACTTTAGGGCTTTATACATGATTTCTCCCACCAACCCTTTACCTTCTCATCACTCAGGTGTCAACTTAAATGACGTCTCAGAAAGGCCCCTAATCTTGTAGTGGACGAGAGCAAGGGCTCTGAAGGCAGACTGTCTGGGTTTACATCCCAGCTCCCTGCTTACTTGCTATGTGACTTTGGGCAAATTACTTAAATTCTCAAAGCCTCGTTTTCCCTGGTGATAAAATGGAGACAATAATAGTATCTATTGTATACAGTTGTTCTGAAGATAAAAAGAGTATGTAAAGCATGGAATATAGCCTGGCACACCGTAAGCACTGTATAAGTATTCACTGTTACCATTGTTATTATCTGAAGTTGAGTGCCCCCTACTCTTTATTTTTATTTCCATTTCCCAGTTGTTTCTTCACAGTATTTATAATACCTTATAATTTGTTAGTTTTCCTCACTAAGTACTAAACACCAAGACAGCAGGGATCATGTCTGTCTTTATTCTCTATGCTATCTCTAGTGCCTAATTCAGTACCTGGCATAGAATTAGCACTCTATAATAACTACTGAGTAGAATAGACCAGAAATGATACCCTATATTGAAACATCAGTGACCAAACTAATATCACTGGAAGACCTGATGAATTCAAAGCCCAGATCAGTCAGAGCACAGCTTTAGGTTAATATTCCATTTCTATAAAGTGGCATATGATTTTTGTCGTTACTTTATATCAAAGACTTGGTTCTTCGGCTTGATTCTTGTACCTTTATTGATTCAATTATTTAAATCAAATTTTAATGGAAGACATTCAAAGAAAGAACAAGAGAATAATTTTGAAAATCGATTCAGTGTTTTGAGTGGGGAGTTGTTTCATTGAAGCTGAGATACACTCTTATAAAATACACTGTTGTTTTATGTGTTACTAAGAAAGAAAAAATGCCATTTTAACTAAAACTCTTATCACTTGGAATTTTTCATACTTATGGAAAGCCCTTTTTTAAAAAAAATCGTATCACTTTTGTACACAAGTAAAAAGAAAAATATAAGCAAAATTAATTAGCTGAGGTTATCTTAAAACTTCTTCACATTCAGAATCTGACTGTTCTAATTCACTTTCAACTCAGAGTCTTGATGTCCATGTTTTTCCAGGTAATATCATTCTCTGTTACTAAGAGCATTAGTGATGTATCATTTCTTAAATGATTGTCCATTGTTATCTCCGGGGTTTTCTTCTAAGATGCTGATGCCCATTCTTCCCATTTTCATGCACAAACACATTTAATGACAAATATGTCATGACTGCATCCTGACCAAAAGCGATGATAAGAGACGTATCAATTTCAGATATGTAAAGTGTGAGAAAACATTGTCTTAAAATTAGTGAAATATGATATTGAATTTGCAGAATACTTGGAAAAAAATAATTGCCTGACAGACCTTTTACCAAGAATTAAGAATTGTTTAACAATTTATAATGTTACTGGCTAAGTATATGTTTTTATTGATTTTAACCATTAATATTTATATACCACTTGACAATATTAGTTTAATATTCATGGTATCATTTAAACATCACAACATTACAATGTAATAGTTGTGTTCCACTTTGCAGATGCAAAAGCCAAAGCCTCAGAGAGCCTCAGTAGGAGTCACTAGTAAGTGATGGACCATTTATGACTCTTTCTTCAACTCCAAGTCCCAAGTTCTTTGTTATTTGCAAAATACGCTAATATAAGTAAAGATTTACTCAAACCAACTTTAAGAAATGGAAAATTTTAGCTTCTTGGATTTGTCATTCTGTGTAGAATATACATGGCAGGCTTTATCTTTTAACAACTTTATAAAGTGAATAGCTTTGTATGAACCTAATGTGTTTGAGATTACTTATTTGAGAATATGTGAAAATTTCTAGTAAAGTTTGCTTTTTCTTGCTATTTATAGAAATAAGAATTACTTTATGCTTATATCGTTGGGTTTAGTTCTTGTTTTATTGAGATATTGATATATTAGTTTCAAGTGTACAACATAGTGGTTCAGTATGGTTCAATTCTTATTCATGAACAATGAGCCTCAATAATTGACTTAATCCAACACAAGATCCAAACTGCATACATGTTTTTAATGACAATGAAGTTAAAAAATGTTTGTGGTTGGGGCTTCAAGACTTATGCCACTATGCAGAAATATAGTTTTTTTTTGGGGGGGGAGGAAGATCAGCACTGAGCTAACATCTGTCACCAATCCTCCTCTTTTTGCTGAGGATGACTGGC